AATTTCCCCCCCCCCCCAAATCCCATTTTTAGCAAAAAAACTTGTTGAAAGTTTCGACGAGACGGACGCAACAGCAAAATTCATTTTCGAAATGATGACCTATTGAAAAAAATTTTAAGTGGGACTACTTTTCATGCATGAAAACCCTATGCACAATTTTATGCAGAACAATATCCGGTGACCACCAAAATAATTTGCATGTTCATCTTATGGGATTATGAAAAATATACATCTTACAGGATATAATTTGGGTCACTAGATTATCTTGTGAGGAAAAATGATAATCTTAGGGTATCAGAGTAGTGTTTATGATTGAAATTTTTCACATAAAAATTATTTCAAACGATCGTCAAACTTATTTTCATGATCTTTAAATACAACAATGAACATAATGCAGATTCAAAAAATAAAGTATTGAGCCCACAAGAATTTTGGGAGAGAATAATAATTTAGGGTTTCACGGGTTGATTAAGACTGTTTCAAGTTCTAGCTTAGCATCCAACTCAAGTGAAGCTCGATGGAGTGTAAATGGAAGGAAAATGATTGATCTAAAAAAAAGTTCAACAAGAACTTCTCCTCTAGTGGGCAACCCAAAGCTTTAAAGAGGAGGAGACAACCAATTTTGGGCTAGTTAACCCCAATCAACATGGTTTAGACCTAGTAGTCATCCATTTTGGGCAACTATGATGTTCATGGAATCGTGATGATGAGATAATCATTTTAACTATAAATTGACAAAATTAAGAATCCATTTGGTCCTCAAAATAACTTCTGAAATTTTATTGAGTTCAATCTCCTAAGCGCTATAGGATTCAGATAATGCACGAAGTTGTACTTTATCAATGCAAATATAAAAGTTTACTTTTTGATGATCCAACTAATGAGTTTTTATGCTTGAATATGCATGCATGTAAATATCTTCTATATACATATACATAAAATAATAATGTCATATGTATATCACTTTCTATTTCCTTGAATATTTTTCATATCATTGCGCCCATATCCCATTTTTATGTCCTCACTTTACACAAAGGGTCATAAAGAAACATAATTATTTCTTAGAAAAAAAAAATCCAAGGACAATTGTGAACAATTGTGACATAAGATAAGACTTTCAGTAAAAGGAATCCACTAGGCAGGTGGAACAATATTTACCATGCAATTTTGTTGGATGAATAAGTCCTAAAGAACTAACCAAAATCGAAATCATTAGCTGCAGAACAAACCTGACTTGGATGAACCAGATGCAAGAGTTTTTAGCTTGTGTAAAACAGTGAACTGTATGGAAGTGTAAGGCATATACATAAGCAGAGCTGGAACATTTCCCCTCCAGAAACCCTAAGGTGGAAATGAGAAAATAAATTAAGATCCTCTTAAATGAAAATCAGTATCAATAGAAAGAAAAAAATGCAATCAAGATTAAAGAATGGAACATCTATCAAGTTAAAAGTGATATTATCAGACCTAAAAATCAATTAATGCCAAAGAGAACATAGCATTTCATCCCAAAACAATTTGTTTATTTAACCACTATTAGGACAAATATAAGTTGTGCAGAATGTAAATGTTTGATGCTTATTTTTTATTTACAATTAAAACTATGGATATTCGAACAAATTGATAGCTGTATTCTCAGATCCAGCAGTAGGTTAAGAAACAAGAAAACAGGGAAGTTTTTATCCAATACCAATTTGTCTCAGCAGGTGAATTTCATTATAATATAGCACTAAAATAAATTTGAGCAACTTTTGCAGGTTTTAAATGCTTAATTCTTGTTTCCCATGTGCTTCCATTCAGCAAAGCAAGGTGAAAAATGAGAGGATAAAAAAAGGGAAATTAGTATACATACCACAAAATTCTTATTTATCTACATATCTAATAAGAAAACTTTTATATTTGCATTTATAACACTTTGGTGTCATAAACACATGCATGGCAAGGCATATTTCACGTTTAACAAATAATAGTAGTATTTTTTTAATGTGAAATTAAGGAGTTCAGTTTTATGCATGTAAATATGAAATTTTAGGTGTTTGATATGTAAATAAATAAGAATTGTAAGGTATGCATGTAAAATGCTCCTATAAAAAAGAAAATTAGTCATACAATTATCATCTGAAATATGCATACAAATAAAAAAAAAATTAAACGATTTAATCAAGTAAATTTGAGCTTGCAAAAAATTTATTAAAGAATAAAATCATGATCCACAATGCCCTTTTTTAAATTGGATATTTGTTAAACAGTATAAAATGGGACAAAACCCATCCCCAATTTTGCTCATCCAAATATTCTAAACAGCGCACCAAGGTTTTTTGAACTTAACATTCAACCATACGGTGAAAAAAAATTATGTTTACATATGAGAGACTTGCATACTCCGTCCATCCAAATATAGCACAAAAAGACAGTTAAAATTCTGCAGGAAGTTCAACTATGATAGCATTAATTTATTGGCATTCATGCTATGATGATATTCACCCTATTATGGTATACAGTACTTCCAAATGAAATACAATAATAAACAAACGTAAAGTGAGAAACAGTACTTATAACAAGATTCCTCCAGGCACACTCTTGGTCATGTCTTGATTTCCATTGCCACCAAATACAATAAGGAGCATTTACATACACAATTCTTATGTATTTGCATATCTAACAGTAAGACTTTCAAATTTGCATTCATAATGCTTGAATCTTCAATACCGCACCAAAAATGTCACTATTACAAACTTTTTAAAAGTGAAATACACATTTTCATGCATAGGTTTAAGACATCAGAGTGTTGGGAAAGTAAATATCAAATTTTTTATGTTAGATATGTACATAAATAATAATTGTGTGGTACATATGGAACAAATGTAAAGTGAGACTGACCCGGAAACCTTCCTCTCGAAAAATGTCTTTACTAGCTTGCATAATTCCAGTGTATTTTGAAGGCTTATACATGTCCCTGGGGAGTAATAAGCATGAAGTAGGCTCTAACTGTACCTGCAAGTTAGCAATGATAGAGATATCACTAATTTGATGCATTGGGCACCAAAATAAATTTGTTAAAAACTGAAAAAAAAAATTACTTTGGATAAAATGCAGGTGATACCAATCAATTATATTTCATTGACATCAGAAGAAAGGCATTCTATGTGAATATTCAAGGAGAATCAATTCATTTTAAAAAGAATATGCGGCAGCCTACAAATTAGAAAGTTTAGCTAGGGGGTTGAAACTAAAATGAGAATATATGACAGAAAGGTTGGCCGCTCATATAGAAAAAGGGATTTTGACAAATAGCCATTTCCTTCTAAATTTTCATAGCGTTTTCTTTTTCCAGTTTTAGTAGCACAGTGTTTACAATGATCAATTATTATTATAAGAAGATAAAATGATATTTTAGAGTGATAGGTTCAACTATCTCTAATCTATTATGTATAATATAGTTTAGGTTGATCAATTAAAACTAGAAATAACCCAAGGGTATTATGCAATAAAGGGATATTGCGAAGAATACAAATATAAATTTAATAAAACTGCATTTAATATAACAATATTCCATATATTCAAGTGTAGAAAGTAAAAACAATTTATATTTATATTGAGAATAACATAAATAAGAATATTAAGATAATTGTATGTTAAATTAGGAATGATCAGAGTGACCTATATCAAAGACAACATAATTGTAAATAGATTGGTTTAGACATGTACAATAATGAGTAGAAATTATACTCATCAAACAAGTAAATATTATTAGTGTCAAAAAATTGGAAAAGAGTATAACATAGTTAAGGTTG